GCTCTTGACATCGTCGATATAGAACTCAAACTCATCCTGCTTATAAGCCGGGTTGAGAGGCGCTGCGATGCCGCGCTGCCACGAAGCAGCGAGGAAAGAGACGATGAACTCGTACGAGTTGACGAGCGCGATAGAAACAGGCGCGGCTTTTGTGATGCCGAGATCGGCGAGCTTGCGCTGGAAGGCGGACACGTCGGCCTCGAGGTTGGAGTAGCTGACGGTGAGGGCCTTGGGCTTGGATGGCACGATGATGGCCTCTGCGAGCGGATTGCTCTTGTCAATGGCTGTTTGGAGTGTGAGTGCCATGGTGATTAGGTAGTTGAGAGAGTGAGAGTGAGAGATTGAGGTTTTGGTCTTGGCAGGGGTATCGCTGATAAGAAGAAGAGACAATAACTGGAAAGGACAGCAGCAACTGATGATGGAGAAGTAGAGTTGAGAAAACGGTTTTGGATAGTAGCAACGGTCTGATAGTTTTAGTTTCGCATAGGGGATTTTAGGAATAGTTTACATGACGTGCTACTACTGTTACTGCTCCTGTTACTGTTGCTGCTGGGCCATGCATGTCCCGGGGGTCGTTCGGCTTCCATCCGAGCCGACCACCCGCCGAACTATGCCCACTGCCAAGTGGATTATCAGTCGGTTTTGCGCGTCTCTCTTTTCTTGGTTCTGGGTCCTGGAGGTCAGTGTTGCCTTGGAGATGTATCGGCGAAATATTCTGAAGCAGATTGCCATCGAGGACCCTGAGTACTGATCTTGCGGTGTCGAAGCTGTCAGACATGAGCACTAGTGTACCTAGCATGGACATATATATCTTGTTTGCAGTCTGTTGCATTGCTATAAATTGGACATGGTGATGCTCGCGAGATTCGACCCCTGACATACCCATCATGACACATTTCTAGAACAAACTTAAGAGTCAAGACGTCAGACTGCCTGTAGGTACCTACATGAATGCGACTCTGACAAAGGTTTCTTATGCGGCTCAGACCGGAAATCGGCAAAGTCTTCCCAAGCCTAAATTGAAACCCAAGGATCTCGTCTCGGCTTGCTCCAAAAGTCTTCCATCAATTCCTAGATGGGGGCGTCGGGTATGATGGGGGCGCCCCCAATATTTCTTCATTGGCGGGGTTTTAGGCTCTCAATGCTGTAAATTAGGGACGCTAGAGCCTAAACTGACCACCCTCTCCATGCCCGCAGGGTTGGACGGGCTTGTTCTATCGGCTGCCCACGCGGCGCGGTGCGGCGGCGCCTTCTTCCTTCTTCGTTAGTCTGCTCTTCAATTGAGAGTTACCTTCCATTTGTTAGTTACCTTGTACTGTATCCTCATAAGCTGCGCCTCATCTTCCCCCGCTATCGTTGGCTGTCATTATCCATTATAACCTCACTTTCACAAATAACTTTCAATTCCAAGCTTGTTTCTATAACCGAGGCCGTTTTTTCTCGATACACCTTCGGCCTCGAATCTGCGATCTCGTACATGTCTCCGTCTCATCCGCGCCGACCGATTACCCCTCGCTCCTGAGTTCGATTTGAATACCTACACACGTTGCCCATCATGGCTGAGGTGGACGCGATGCCCACCTTTGGCTCAGAGCTCAAGGTTGGTTGCCTATTTGACTGAAGATGGCCTGCTGTTGATAATGCATCATTGTGGCCTCCTTTTTGTCTTGCGCCTGCATTGGAAGCTCCTTTCACATGCTCTCTCAGCATTCGCATGGCTAACAGAAAGCGTCCTAGGATGGCTTCAAACCCGCGAATGCATGGCTCGGCCATGGCATCGCCTGGCTTGAAGACATACAGCAATTCTACCGCGAGCGCGCAGCCATTGAGAAGGAATATAGCGCAAAGCTTACAGCACTTGCCAAAAAGTACTTTGACAAGAAGAACAAAAAGACGGCTCAGCTCAGTGTAGGAGACACTCCTGCCATGACGCCCGGCTCGCTCGAAAGGTACGGACGCAATCTCCCATGAGTTGGCCTGAAAGCACACGCTGATCACTGTGCGACCGTTACAGTGCTTCTTTGACTACATGGACAACCCAGCTTACGACGCTCGAATCCCGCGCCAACGAACATGACCGATACGCCAACAATCTTATTTCTCAGGTTGCCGAGCCGCTCAAGTTCTTTGGCGGCCGTTTTGAAGAATTGCGCAAACGACACTCCGACTTCGCTACTAAGCTCGAGCAAGAGCGCGATGCTTCATATGCCTCACTCGCCAAGACAAAGGGCAAATACGACACTGTCTGCCAAGAGGTCGAGTCTAAGCGTAAGAAGACCGAGTCGCATTATGACAAGGCCAAGGCTCAGAATGCCTACACACAACAGCTATTCGAGATGAACAACGCCAAGAACACTTATATCATTGCGATCAATGTTACCAATAAGCAGAAGGAGAAATATTACCACGAATATGTCCCCGAGGTTATGGATAGTCTACAGGATCTTAGCGAGTTTCGAACGATCAAGCTGAACAGTCTTTGGACTGTTGCGACAAACCTCGAGTCTGACATGCTGCAACAAAGCAACGGCATGGTCCAGCACCAGGGCACCGAGATTCAAAGGAATTTGCCCCATCTCGACTCCATGATGTACATTCAACACAATATGGGAGTTTTTAACGAACCGCCCGACAAGCATTTCGAGGCCAGTCCTGTTTGGCACGATGATGGTACCATGGTGGTTGACGAGACCGCAAAGGTCTTCTTGCGCAATGTCTTGGGCAAGTCCAAGTCGCAACTGGGAGAACTACGGAGGGAGGTTGATAAGAAGCGACGAGAGGTTGAAAGTCTCAAACAACTCAAGCAACGAGTCAGGGAAGGAAAAGAGAAGAAGGACGAGGTGGAAGTTGTTCGCATACTCTTCTCAATGCAGGAAGATCTGCATTCTATTGACCGTCAAAGACTGACGGCCGAAGTCGAGACATCTACAATCACATCTGTCGTGGGTGATGTGACGCTGGGTGCAAAGAACCACAACTTCAAGAGTCAAACGTTCAAGATACCCACGAATTGTGATTTGTGTGGAGAGAGAATCTGGGGACTGAGCGCAAAGGGCTTCGATTGTCGAGACTGTGGCTACACATGCCATAGCAAGTGTGAGATGAAAGTGCCCCCTGACTGTCCTGGCGAGCAGTCCAAGGATGAGCGCAAGAAGCTCAAGGCCGAACGCCAGGATGCCGCGAATAAGCTACTTAAGCCCAGTGCCACGATGACATCGCTACACTCTAATGCTTCAGATGGACCTGAACTAACCCGTTCCAACACCATGACGTCTCTAAGCTCTCATTCAGCACGTCCATCTCTATCAGGATCCATATCTGGGCAGCTCAGCCCATCGGAGGAAACGCCGCCAGACGCGGGACGGCCAAGCATGTCTTCGGCCAAGTCATCTGGCACTATGCGCAAGAACAGAATCATGGCGCCTCCACCAGTAGCTTATATCACGGGTTCTGGCGGCGGCGAGACAAACGGTGGCGCAAAGGAGGAGAAGAAGGGCAAGATGCTGTATGCATTTGAAGCTAGTGGTGAGGGTGAACTTACAGTACAAGATGGTCGAGAAGTGGTACTGCTGGAACCTGACGGTAAGTCTGAACCCCTGATATCGCAGTGATGACATCTGATTGTATTATAGACGGCTCTGGCTGGATCAAGGTCCGCGCAGGCTACAAGGAAGGCCTCGTTCCATCATCATATGTCGAGCTCACCACCGTTACTACACCGGCTGCTCCCGCCCCCGCAGCCCGGCCATCATCTACTTACTCCACCTCAACAACATCATCCCTAGCACCATCAACCAAGAAGAAGGGACCGGCAGTAGCGCCCAAGCGCGGCGCAAAGAAGCTCCGCTATGTAGAAGCTCTATACGAATACACGGCACAGGCTGAGTCAGAGCACTCCATGGCCGAAGGCGAACGTTTTGTCCTTGTGCAGGATGACCCGGGCGATGGCTGGGTCGAGGTCGAGAAGGCGGGCGTTACGGGAAGTGTGCCTGCGAGTTACGTGCAGGCCGTCTAGGGAACGAGCAGGGGTTGCAGGTGCGGGTTTTGTCGGCGCAGGATGAAGTCGCCTTGAAAGAAGTTACAATTTTACCTCGTCCTTATTTGGTTTCTCAGCGTGAAGCCGGGTTTGAATGTTTATATGAAGAGGGCAAGACGGAGCTGCATGATTGGGATTCTGTTTCAGACTTCTACCCAAAGGAAGGAGAAGACAAGACAAGACAGGAGCTGTGTATATTTTGGGTTAGGGATGCATTCATGGGGTGTAGGTACATAGTGCATGAACTCGGGGTTCAAAATGGAAGATATGCTGAGCCGCATCGCATCGGTAGGAGCTTGCGAAGCAATTTGTGGTGGCTTTGCCACTCTACCGAAGTTTCCGGAAATTAAGAGTCATAGCATCACAAGCACCGAAAAAGTCAATGGGGTAAGTTTAGAGGACGAGGAGCTTGGTTTGAAACATGAGAACTCTAATAGCACTCATATGAGAGAAGAAAAGGGATGCGTATAGCATCCATCTAGTATATTACAGGGGTATTACAGATAAAAAAGCTCAACCGTCCGACACCTTTGGTTCATTTCTCATGCATACTGCTTGGTATACGGTCCCGTTCCATAGCCCCTAATCCATCTGCCATTCTTTCATTGATCATGTAAAGTGTGCGCGTGCATTGTATTTGTGTATCAAACAGGAGGGGGATATCATTTCTTTCAGTTCCAGTACCTTGGAATAAACGCCGTGCCAGAAAAAATAATTGAGAGTAAAAGTGAAAAGAGTCATGCCAGGACTCGTACTTGATGTGAAACCATGAGCCCAATGCATAAAGCCGAACGCCGAGTGGAGTGTGTATATGTTGAGTGAAAGAAGATGGAGCTGTCAAAGAATGAACTTCCCGGGAGTACCAGAGCTTTGCCTGGTCCAGGCCGCTTGTGATGATGCTCATCAGACCTTGTCCTGCTTATAGTCCATTGAAGTTGGGGACTGCCAAAGGCAAGATTGGATTCTATATCATCTGTGCAGTGGGAGCTCCCAGGGTGTGTCCAAGACCTTCACGCAGAGCGTCCTGCAACTCAGCGATCTGGGCCATCATAGACAGAGAATGTTGGGAGTTTTGGTTCATCTCAGCCCTCAGCTTCTCATTCTCCTCTTTCAGGCGTTTGACTTCTTCTCTGAGTTCGGTCAGCTCCTCAGTGGCCTGCTCGCTCGAGTGGCGTTTGCGCTTCATGCCCGTCTTTTCGCTGTCGTTGTCGCCGGGTGATTGAACGATTTCGGTAGGAGTAGATCCATCAGGATTGGTATGAACCCGACGTAGGTGCTCATTCAGGTTTTCTTGTCTTGAGAATCCCTTGCCGGTGTGTCGCTTACAGTTAGGATGAGGACAGTTGACCGTGTTCTTGGGCCCCCCATGTTTGCCATGAACCTCTCGTTCATGCCGAAGCAAACCGCCAGAGTATGTGAAACCAGGAAGATTTTCGCAACCCTCGGCAGGGCATCGGTACGGTCGTTCATGCTTGTCCATGTGTTTGCTGTAAAATAGTTAGCAAAATGTTACTGAGTGCGAAATTCGGGCGGGAACTTACTTCCACTCGCATTTGCGCGAAAATACTCGGACGTCTTCCTTACAATCGTCCAAGGTACAGTGAAACTTGCCGTCGGCGCCCTTGACCGCATCTCTCTCGGGCTTTGGAATGGACTTCACTCGAGAAGACGAAGGAGGAGGAGATTCGATACTCGGAGAAAGATCTTTGTCGTCGGGTAGAGGGTCGAGTGATGGTGCTTGCATAGCGTCCTCGATCGGGGACGGGAACGAGTGGGGTCCAAGGTCGAGTCGGGTTGCTTCCTGAACAGCAGCAGCATCCTCCGGCATCATCCCCCTATCATCTCCAAGAACGCCTGTGGTATCCGGGAGCATGGACGCCTCGGTTGTGTAATGACTGAGTTGCTCGGCGACATCACTGTCTGTAAATCTTTGGTCCGCACCATGATCGTGGTCGTCGCCGATGGGAGGATAGCTCCCATCATGAATGAAGTTGCGAGGTTCGAATGCGACACTCATGGTACCTGTGAGTGACTGATATTGCTTTGCGACAATCGGGAGGCGACGCAAGAATCGCGGTCGCAGGAGTTTGTAATCGAGAGGCGCGTGAATTAAAAGCGGTACCTGTGGTCGGGGGGCGAGAGTGCGCTTTATAGAGGATCGTGGATGGGAGTTGGTATTGAGGAGTAGAGGAGGTATAATGGCAAATCGCTATGCCGGTGACTGCTCGCTCGGTTCGGGTTGGTTATGATGGATGAAGCTTCAAGGTTGGAGGCCTGAAAATTCTGGTATGAAAAAGCGGAAGGCAACGGGTAGAACAAGGTGGAGCAAAATCTGGGATTAGTCAGAGTCAGCACGTGACATCGCGTGTGCGTGGCTTAGCAAACGCAAGTATTGTGGCGCCGACAGATCCGAATTGTTGGGCGAAAGTTTGTTGCGAACACGACTTTATTAGTATTTGACTGTTACTCCAGGCAGACAACGGGTAACGATGACTCGATACGGCAGGTCCCATAATAAGCAAAGTCCTTCGACTTATGCGGAAGCGTTAAAAATCGTGACTCACGCGCCGTGCCTCTTTTGGTGGCGTCGCATAATGGAGGCGTGGGGAAGTGCAAGGCTCCGACGACGACTAACAGCACGCAAGTAGACTTCCTTGTGTGTCCGCCCATTAATCGTATTCGTTGTCTTTTCTGATCTTCGCTCGAAGATAGTATAGTTAGGCATGAGGCTGTGCGGGCCGCGTTTATGGATCCTTCGCAAATGCATTCCGATAGGATCCCGTGATCTTGTTCACAGTCTCTAGATTTTAAGCCAACTTTGCTTATTGGGGGATCCGTAATTCCGTATCATCTGCCAGGGTTTTCCAAGTTCAAGTCCGTGACGTGCACTGAGAAGTGACTTTCCGACCCTGGCTCTTAGGACTCAATAGGCGTCAGGCTGCTACCGTTAAAGTCGCTAAAGGCCCAGTGAGGGATCTCTGTTTCCGAATAGTGTGCACCTACTGGGCATGAGATCAGATAGATCAAGGCAGCTTCCAAAAATGGATGAAACATACGATGACTCATCGTGCCAGGTTGATGTTGGTCCTTTGGTTGTGAGGCCTCACAACCTTATTTTCCAGGTGGCAACAGTCGAACATAAAGTGGACAGCTTTGTCCAACGGGAACAATATCAAAGGGGATTGATGTATCAACATCCAGACCACTGAGTCCTGAGCGGGACATGTCGCGGCTTGCTAGATTGATAGTCCAAATCAATGCTAGTTTGCGACAGGCTTGCGACTATCAGCGTATCGCAGCCTTTGGCGTGGAGTTGTTGCGTATGTATCAGAGCACCAGCATGTGGGTGGCACAAGCAGATGACGCTGGTGGTGACGACGATAATCCCAAGTGAGGCATTGGCGAGGCTACCAAAGGTCGATGAGCTCGCTAAGGATGAAAGGGTAGGTTCGTAACGAGTAAGGAGTAGCGATCCTGCCGACTCAATAGCATTTGAGTTGCAGATAGTTCCCGGTGGTGACGGTTTTGGGTGTTGAGAGAGGGGAAATTGGAATTGGGTGAGAATTTGGAGATTCGGGCGCTTTGTGTTTTGGATACTACCTAGGTACTAAGATTAGGGGACGGGACGGGAAGGAACGATTTGAGATCTAAGGCATTTGTGCATTTACACCAGAAATATGAGGTTGAACCTCAGGTTGAACCATTCAACCCAACCTGACCTGACCTGACCCGACCTGACAAGGGCCAGGCCTAAAGCAGCTAATGCTGAGCTTGCGAGGTGAGCCACACGAATTATGCGTATCTTTATTGGTTTATTACGACGATCGGAGCTGATCTCAAGAACCTTGTCAAAGCTTGTCAGTTGAAGAAATAAAAAGGATCGTATTTGAAGGTTCCTTTTAACCTTATCCATGAGCAATGCTTCATCTTCATCTTCTCTGCCCACAGAACAGTTTGAAGGGTGAGGCCCAAGCAGATGAAATGTTATCAGTATGAATAACAGCAAAATCTCATGTCGGACATTTGTTTCCCGTCTTATGCTTGGCTACTGAACCTGAAGCGTTCCCCGCTCTCAGTCCTCAGACCCAACAGAGACAATTGGTTCAACAATGCGATAGCTAACGCCTCGAGATGAAGTGGCTTTCGGCAAATGTCTTTGTTCACGGTTCTCCAACGGATTGCTGTGCTACGATGTGAAAGCTTTCATCTGTGCATTTCCTCCATTTGCTAACCCCTGATGATCAAGTCTTACGCCTCAATATGTGAACAATACTCCTGGCATAAGCCACCAGAGTTCACGGTGTTGGTTCAGTCAACGACATAGGTCTATAAAGAAGACGTGATTTCTCCCTCTTGTCCTCTATCATACTGACACACAATTCAATACTCTGTCAAACAGTCCACCATCACTGAACACCATGTCTTTCGGGAAACTCACTACTTGTCTCTGGTTCGAGGACCAAGGCGAAGAGGCAGCAAACCACTACGTCTCAATCTTTGCCCCTGATTCCAAGATCAACACCATCCAACGCTACACGCCCGCCGGCCAAGACCAACACGGCCAGGAGCCCGGAAGGGTCATGGTTGTCGAATTCGAGCTCCGAGGCCGTTCCTTTGTCGCTCTCAATGGCGGCCCAGCCAAATGGAATTTCAACGAAGCCATTTCTCTGATGATCGATTGCAAGGATCAGGCTGAAGTTGACCACTTCTGGGAGAAGCTCAGCGAAGGTGGTGATGAGGCCCGCCAACAGTGTGGATGGTTGGCCGACAAGTTTGGAGTTGCTTGGCAAGTCGTGCCTTCAGCGCTCAAGGAGATGCTTGGATCTGAGGACAAAGCTTCAGCTGGAAGAGCGACTATGGCTATGATGAAGATGAAGAAGTTTGATATTGCTGAGTTGGAGAAGGCGTATAAGGGCTGATGTACACAAGCCGAAGCTGCCACTAGGCAATTTGATGTACCCATTCTTAAGGTAGCTGTGATATCTATCGCAGTATCTATATAAGACAATGTTATTATTTGGAGAGTCGTAAAGACTGGGTCTTTGATTGGACCAGACTGTCTTCGTTACCAGAGTCGTTGGACCCTGGCTGCATTCCCCTGACATGAGATCAACGGCTGCAAAGCCGAGAGTACTCCGGGCTGCACCGGGCATTCTAGAATACCAGACACTGCCTCTGAGCCGAGGATAGGCTAACAGAGATCACGCTGTCGTTTTACACAAGTTTGAATGACTATTGCTGTTCCGATCGTCGGTGTTGTGAACTCGGTAGATTGCCGAATAAGCTCTTATACGGCGGTAGTACCGAGGCGGCTCTTACCGGGCCGTGTAGCATCCGGAGCTTTGGAGCTCTATATCTTCAATTGTTGAGATGCAGTTCTCATCTCCGAACTACTCACCTTTACTCTTGTGTCTATAAGTCACCAATCACTCAATTGATACAACATTATCCATGTCTCTGCCTCTTCAGCTCCGGAGTGACTAAAAACCAGCCGATCACGTTGGCAGAGTCTACGGACACAAGAAGGGTTGGGTTAAGGGTTGATAATTAGCTCTAAGTAGCCGCACTTAGTGGGTTATAGCTACCCCAACCTGCAAAAGCTATCCCCCAAGAGTAAATCTGCATCGGTTTTAGCGGCCTAGATCGGCTCACAAACCACGGATCTCATCCAATGATCGATACGGACCCTCAACTTTTTTTCTTCCATTAATAAATCCCCTCCACCCTCTTTCTATTCCCTCTTCCCCTCAACATCAGTTTCTTCCTTCATCCTTACTTTTGTTCTTACTATCAAAACCCTCTCGACTGGCATTGCCTCTCTTCCTATTCAAATCCGCTGTCGTCACTTGCAATATCTGAATCAGACTTATAGCACGCTCCTCCATTGCTTTCAAGTCTTGTACTTCCAATGGCAGAGTCAGCTCATAGCTCGCTCGCCAGTGGTGGCCAGCATGATGACCCCGCGTCCAAGCCTCATCTTGCTTCTACTGGGCTTGAGAATCAGGAAGAGGGAAATGCCCGAGAGGGTGATTATGATGTTGAGACAGTAGAGCGTATCTACAGGTTTGTGGCCAACTTCTCTCAGATCGACACATCACTTACCAGTTGAATTACAGAAAGATTGATCGCCGTATCATTCCTGGTAAGTCTGCTTTGTACCACCCTTGAAACCATCCACTCATCATGTTGCAGCTTTCTGGGTCCTATACTTCCTCTGCTCAGCCATCAGGTCCAACATTGGTATTGCTCAAACCATGAACAAGGATAAGGGGCACGATCTCATGACTGTTCTTGGAATGACTCCAAAGGATGTCTCAACTGCTCTCGCTCTCTTCTACGTCGCATATGTCATCTTTGACTGTCCCTCCAACCTCATTATGAGCAAGCTGAGCCCACGTCTCTGGATGGCACGCATTGTCTTTGCTACTAGTGTCATTGGCACATGCTTCGCTGCTGTCAATGATCCTTGGAGTGTGAAGCTACTTCGATTCTTGCTTGGACTCGTCATTGCTGGCATGTGGCCTGGTATGGCCTTCTACCTCACCTTGTTCTACCCTCCTTCGCGTACTGGCCAGCGAATCGGCTACTACTTCACTGCGTCTCAAGTGTCTGCTGCCGTTGTTGGTCTCGTGTCTGCGGGATTCCAACTCATGGATGGAGAGAGAGGTATCGTGGGTTTCCGCTGGATGTTCATGGTTTATGGTCTTGTCGGTGTCGTCCTGAGCGTTATCCTCCTGTGGTGGCTCCCTGACCGACCCCTTGCACCTGGCCAGACCAGACCCAAGACCGGTATCTTCAAGTGGCTCCCTGCTACCCCTGAGGTTCTCAAGGGCCAAGACGCAGTTATCCACTACCACGACCTTCGGCGTGTTTACCACGCCCGACCCTGGAACTTTAGGGATCTAGGCCTTGTTCTGATCGACTGGCGTCTCTGGCCCCTGACTTTGATGTACTTCGGTGTTGTTGGCGTCGGCATCGGCACTCAGATGTACGGATCCGTCATCATCGCATCTATCC